ACAAACAAACAAACATACATACATACATACATACATATACATACCCCTTATATATATATATATATATATATATATATATATATATATTATATATATATATATATATATATGTGTGTTGTATTATATATGTGTATATATGAATATATGTATGTATGTATGTATATGTATATGTATATGTATATGTATATTGTATATGTATATGTATGTAATATGTATATGTATGTATATATATATATATATATATATATATATATATATATATATATATATATATACATATATCTGTGTGTATGCGTGTGTGTGGGTGCGTGCGAGTGCGTTTATGTGTATGCAAATACGGATAAAGCAATAACAGTCCATAACATCATCAGCAAAGCGGAGGTACGGCACAGCATATCGAATGTCTGACCCGGCGGCGCGACGCCTTCTGCGCCTGTGTGGGGAGGGGAGGGGAGGGGAGGGGAGGGGAGGGGAGGGGAGGGGAGGGGAGGGGGTGTTAAGGGCGACCTGTAGTGTATCACTGGACACCCCCCTCCTACCCCTTTACTAATAAAAGACCCCCACGACCCTGCGACCCCACGCCCACGACCCTCTGCCCCGCCACAACATTTACACGCCAACACACACACCAGCAAGGAAAGGAGAGAAAGAGAGAAGAATAGACACCAGTGAAGACGAGAGGGAGCCAACACACGAAGGATGCAAATAGCCAGAAGAGAGAATAATCGTTACGTCTTTCGTTTTTTTTTTATCCTATTCTTCGTCTTCCCTTTTTTCATTTCTCTATTCATCTATCTATATATCAATGTTCATTAATAGATCAAATTATCTATCTTTACCGTATTCTGCTTTATCTTATATATCATCTTAATTCTTTCTTCTTTCTCATGTTTTCTTATTTTCTCTCCTATTCTTACACACGCCCATCCACCTTCATCCACATCAACACAGGCAAGCCATCCTCTTCCTCCAAGCCCCCAACAGAAGCAAGCAAACTCCGCCTATTCCCAAGCAAATCAAGCCGCTCTCACCGGACTACCAAGCAGAAGCCGGCAACCTCCTAAAGCGACCACCCGCGCTCTCCGACCACCCAGAGCAGAAGCGACCGTGCCCTACATCATTTGCAAGCCAAAGCAAGCGACCCCTTACGATTCCCAAGGAAGAGAAAGCAACCGCCGACGATTCCTAAGCAAAGGCAAGCGGCCTCCTGCGATTCCCGAGCGAGGGCAAGCGACCACCTCCTATACCGCAGTTCTACTCCGCATTTTCCCTTCCCTGCTTTACCCCCCTCTCTCGCTTTTTCCTTCCATCCCCCACTCTGCAACACGACTTTGCAACGCGGTAAATCTCAAGCTGTCGAAGATAATATGCAGTTGCAAAGCGCGGCGCGTGTTTATTTGGTTAAACGTCGTAAGGTAGACGGAGAACGGGAATGAAGGAGGGGGAGGGGGGGGAAGAGATGGAGAGAGAGATGGAGAGATATGGGGAGAGGGAGAGAGAGATAGAGAGAGATGGAGAGAGAGAGAGATAGGGAGAGAGAGAGATGGGGAGAGGGAGAGAGAGAGGGGAGAGGGGAGAGGGAGAGGGAGAGAGGGAGAGAGGGGAGAGAGGGAGGGAGAGGGAGGGAGAGGGGGAGAGGAGAGAGAGAGAGAGAGAGAGAGAGAGAGAGAGAGAGAGAGAGAGAGAGAGAGAGAGAGAGAGGAGAGAGAGAGAGAGGGAGGAGAGAGGAGGGAGGGAGGGAGGAGGGAGAGAGGGAGAGAGAGAGAGAGAGAGAGAGAGAGAGAGAGAGAGAGAGAGAGAGAGAGAGAGAGAGAGAGAGAGAGAGAGGGGGGGGGTATATATATGTATATATGTATTTTATATAAATGTGTACATACATACATACATACATACATACATACATATATATATATATATATATATATATATATATATATATATATATATATACACACATTATACATATATACATATATACACACACACACACACACACACACACACACACACACACACACACACACACACACAACACACACACACACACACACACACACACACACACACACACACACACAGATATATATATATATATAATATATATATATATATATATATATATATTACATATGTATAAATATATACATATATAATATAATAATATATATATATATATATATATATATATATATATATATATATATATATATATATATATATATATATATATATATATATATATATATATATATATATATATATATATATATAATATATATATATATAAATAATATATATATATAATATATAATAATATATACATAATATGTAACATATATATATAATATATATATATATATATATATATATATATATATATATATATATATATATTATATATATATATACATGCTTCCACTTCCCTCGGAGAAGCACGAGAGAGTTGCTGCATGATGCATGATCCTCCAGTCTTGTTCGAGTTGCTTTTACTTTCCAATGCATGCAGAGTGGCTCGTTCCAGCTGCAGCGGCCATCAGACCCACCTTCGCATTTCTGGCCTCATTTCCTCAAGCAGGTGCAAGCAAGCAAGCAAGCGCATTTTACTCCCCTTCTACCTCTTCCTCACACAAGATCTACACAAAAGTAAAAGCAAGCAGCATCTCAAGCAGGTACAGACAAAAAACACCCTTACCGATCTCCCAAGCAGGAACAAGCACGGTCTTCATTAGTGTCATTCCCAAAATAAAACATAAATAACCTTCATTAATTTTCAAAGATCCAAAACAGGTACGTGAAAGCCCATATAATCCACAAACTAGATTTCTAAACAAGTGAAAGCAACCTCATGCAATCCCCAAGCAAAAGCAAGCATTTCCAGCAAATAGCCCACCACAATCTGCAACCCCAAGCAATAACAAGCAACTCCATGCAACCACAAGCAAGAGCAAGCAAGCCTTTGCAATCCCAAGCAACAACAAGCAACGCCACACAACCACAAGCAAGAGCAAGCAAGCCTCTGCAACCCCAAGCAACAACAAGCAACGCCACACAACCACAAGCAAGAGCAAGCAAGCCTCTGCAACCCCAAGCAACAACAAGCAACGCCATGCAATCTTAAGCAATAACAAGCATCTCCCTAAGATCCCAAGCAATAACAAGCAACGCCACACAACCACAAGCAAGAGCAAGCAAGCCTCTGCAACCCCTAGCAATACAAACTACTAACTGATCCCAACGCAATAACAAGCATGTCTCTCCAACCCAAATCAAGTGCAAGCAACTCCCAGCAATCACAAGCAAGAGCACGCAAGATGTTGCTTGAAACCTCGGGCAACAACAAGCAACTCCTTGTAACCCCAAACAAAAGCATACAACCCCTTAAAACCCCAAGTAAAAAACAAGCAAGTCACTGCTGTCCCAAGCAAAAATAAGCAACTCCCTGTAGCCTCAAGCAACAAAAGGCAACCCTCGCAGCCGCAAGCCAGCCCTGCCAGCAAAAGGAACAGCGAAGGGAAGAACGAGAAAACAAACTCCTATATAGGCCTATGTGTTGTTCCCTTTGCCATTTCTCCGACAGAAACCCCACAAACGCAAGCGGGTTCTCCCACCAACCTCAAACCCTCCACCACGGGCCGTCCAACCTCTCCAGCCTCTGAAGTCAGCGGTTCTGAACCCTCGAGAGCGCCGCCGCTTCCTTTCGAGAATATTCAACTTTAAATGTTGACCATTCCCCTCCCTCCCCTCCTTCCGTGCCCCCCCCCCCCCTTTCTCTCCCGTCGCCATTCCCTAATGTCTCCCCCGCCTTTCATCTACCCTTTCCCCCTCCTTCCCTCTCCTCTCAAACACCTCCCCCCCTCCTTACCCTCCCCTCACCCCAACCTCAATCCTCCCCCCCCTCCTCCTCCATTCCTCTCCTTCCCCCTACCTCCTTTAAAGCGCTCGACTCCCCCCCCCCTTCCCGTAACCCTTCTCCACCCCCTCCACTCCACCCCACTCCCCTCCCCCCCTCTACACACGCCGGTCAGTATTTCCAAAGTCCCCTTCGACTGCTCTCGCGTTTTCGATTTTGACATTTTCGGATTTTGCGTTCGTCGATTTTTTCCGGATTCGCTGATATTCCGATTTTAAGATTTGCTGATTTTCCGATTTTTAGATTAGGTGATTTACGGTGCGAGTTCCTTTCTGTCCGTCTCGTCCGCCCGTCCGCCTGTCTCTCCCCCCCTCCCCTCAATTTGCCTTCAATAGTTCTGACAAATACGTGTTTCTGAAATGCACATCCAGGGAAAAAAATCATCCATCAAGTTGAGCGGAAAAAACGGCTTTATCCAACAGGTCTGAGTAAGAAAAAGAGACATATATAACAAAACGAACCAGACAGTTCATCAATATCCCGAACCATCCATCCATCTATCCACTCTCCATTCCATCACAAATCCAATCATCCATCCATCCATCCATCTATCCACCCACAATCCCATTCACCCATCCATCCGCCCCACACAACTCATCCATCCATCCATCCATCTACCTACCCACTCACCTATCCATCCACCCCACATAAAGCATCTACCCATCCATCCATCAATCCATTTACCCACCCATTCATCTATCCATCTAACTACCCAGTCACCTATTCATCCACCTCATACAACCCATCTACCCATCCATCTATCAATCCATATACCCACCTATTCATCTATCCATCCACTTACCCAACAACCCATTCATCCACCCACCCACCCACCCACCATCTATCTACCCACCCACCCACCCATCTATCTATCCACCCATCCACCCACCCACCCACCATCTATCTATCCACCCACCCACCATCTATCACCCACCCACCCATCTATCTACCCACTACCCATCTATCTACCACTCACCCACCCACCCATCTATCTACCCACCCATCCACCCTCCCACCCACCCATCTATCCATCCACCCACCCACCCATCTATCTACCCACTCACCCACCCACCCATCTATACCCACCCATCTATCTACCCACACCATCTATCAACCCACTCACCCACCCACCCATCTATCTACCCACCCATCCACCCACCCACTCCGCCATCTATCCACCCGTCATTGCAAGGCCGACCCACCTGCCAAAACTTGCAAGCAATATCTCCTCCGATCCTCACCATGACAGTTTCACCAAAGCTGGCAATATCGAGGTTCCAAGTCGGGGAGGCGGGGAGATGGGGGGTGGGGGTGGGAGGAGGTGGGAGATGGGGATGGGTGGGGTGGGGGGGGAGATTGGGGTGGGGGTGTGGGGGGAGGAGGCGGGGAGTGGGGTGGGGGGGAGAAGGGGAGTTGGGGGAGTGGTGAGGGAGAAAGTGAGGAAAGGAAAGGGGTGGGGGTTGAGAAGTAGAGGTGGGGGAGAATGAAAGAGGCGAGGAGGGGAGAGAGGAGGGTGAGGAAGAAGGAGGGATAGAGAGAGGGGAAATAGGGAATTGGGGATAAAAAATAGGAAAGAGACAAGGAAAAAAAAGAACTATGAGGGAAACGCGAGAAGGGAAAGGGAAAAGAGGGAGGAGAAGGGGCCGAGAACGGGGAAAGGTGAACTATCTATCACCATCATCCTCGTGATTATCAACTTACTCATCATTCAGACAAGAAAACCCAACCCAACAATACCACCAAAGACACAAAAACAAACACGACACAACCGCTATCGACAATAACGAACACAACAACAGTAATACACCTTCAACAAAAAACAAAAACAAAAATCACGTCACAATAAAAAAAAAAAACAGAAGAAAGAAAAAAAAAAAAACTGGAAAATATACCCCTAAAAGAAAACAACTCACAACAAATGCGAACACAACGCCCTGATTTCTTCCTCATTTCTCCCCTGTGCCTCCGAGAGCGCATGGCATAGTCTGCATGACAAGGAAGTGACGACGTGGAACGCTCATGCCCTCAAGCAAAGGGATGGGGGGGGAAGGGGGTAGAAGGGAGGAAAATGGGAGAAGACGGGAGAGGAGGGGGAAGAGGAGGAAAAAATGGGAGAAGAGGAAAGAGGAAGGGGGAAATGGGGGGAAAGGGGGAGGATGCGGGGGAAGGAAGACGGGAGGGCCGAAGGGGGAGGGGTTAGAGGGGGCCCGTGGGAATTCTAATGAAGTTCGGAGGAAAGAAAAAGGATATACAGGAACAAGAGGGGGGGAGATGGGAATTTGAGTGAGAACGGTGGGGAAAAACAAACAAATAAAGGAGGAAAAATGTGGAGAGTAAAGAAAGAAAGGGAGGGGGTGTAATATTGGGGAAGGGTGGAGGAGGAGGAGATAAGGAGAAACAGGAGTAGGAGGGAGAGGAAGAGGAGGAGGGAGAGGAAAAGGAGGAGGAGGAAAAGGAAGAGAAGGGGGAAAAGGAACAGGAGGAGGAAGAGGAAGAGAAAAGGGAAGAGGAAGAAGAGGGAATCGACGAAAGGACAAAGAAGTGAAACGAGAGAAACAAGACAAAACGTACATTCAAATTTGACAATAAGGCACAACAGCCACAAAAAACAACAGCAACATGAGGACTAAGACACTGCTTAACCACCAAAACCAAAATAGAAAGAACCGAGAAAAATAAAAACAGTGACAGAAAGTTTGATTAGAATTAAGAGGAGAAAAGGCAAAAAGAAACCTTAAAAGTACGAGGAAAAAATACCCCCCCCCCCATCAAAGAAGAAGAGAAAATCAAAACGAAAAATAACTCAATAAACAATATAACAATAACGTTAATAATGATAACGACGAGACCGATGCCTGTACCAACAACCACAAAATATCAAAGAAATAAAAGAATGAAGAAATGAATGATGAATGAATGGCCGAATGCATTAATAAGTAAACCAATGAATAAATAAAGCAATACATAAACAAATAAATAAATAAACAAACACACAAACACATAAACAAACCAACGCTTCGAGGAGACCAGGAAACAACCCTCCCCGCAAAGGACAAACCCTCGGCCGGAACAAACCTCCGCTGCCTCTCTCTCGCTCTCTCGCTCTCTCGCCCACTCCGGTTCTCTATCTCTGTCTGTGTCTGTGTTTGTCTCTCTTTCTCGCTCTCTCTCGCTCTCTCTGTCTCTCTGTCTCTCGCTTCTCGCTCACTCTCGCTCTCTCGCTCTCTCTCGTCTCTCGCTCTCTCTCTCTCTCTCTCTCTCGCTCTCTCTCTCTCTCTCTCTCTCTCTCTCTCCTCTCTCATCTCTCTCCTCTCTCTCTCTCTCTCTCTCTCTCTCTCTCTCGCCCTCCCTGCCTTAGGCTCTTTTACGTCATTTTTTTCCTTTATCGCCTTTTATTATCCCAATTTCCCTCTGATGAATTGTGATTTTTAAAACATTTTCTCTCTTTTTTTCTTTCTAATAGTACAAAAGCATTCCTCTTACGTAACCCTGCTTTATCTTCGTCTACAAAAAAGCACGACATTGCGTTTCATTTGATATAACGTGTCTATGTAAATCTGAACTAAAATTTGTTATCACAACTACTATATTTGTATCTTATAATTATACATTCCTTAATTAAATCCTTTGATATAACGTGTCTATGTAAATCTGAACTAGAATTTATCATAACTACTCTATTTGTATCTTGTAATTATAGATTCCTTAATTAAATCATACCAAAGATCATACATTGCATGTAAAGATAGACTTCGTTCCGTAACCGTGTAAAAATAAATAAATGATTTAGACTGTAATTTATGACATATGTGTCTTGAACTTACGTCATTGTATAATCCTTATTAGGTCATTTTGTTTGTAAAGCATTTTTGTCAACTCTCTCTTTCTCTTCTCTTCTCTTCTCTTCTTCCTCTTCTTCCGTTCTGGTCTCCTCTTCTTCTTCTTCTTCTTCTTCTTCTTCTTCTTCTTCTTCTTCTTCTTCTTCTTCTTTTTCTTCTTCTTCTTCTTCTTCTTCTTCTTCGTCCTCCTCCTCTTCCTCTTCCTCCTCCTCTTCCTCTTCCTCTTCCTCCTCCTCTTTCTCTTCCTTCTTTCTCCTTTTCCTTCTCCTCCTCCTACTCCTCTTCATTTCTTTCTTCTCCTCCTCCTCCTCCTCCGAGACGCCGGAGTGATACAAATTCCCTCCGGAAGGAATGTCCTTGGTGCCTCCTCCGTTTCCCTCTCTCCCCTTCCCCCTTCCCTCTTCCACCTCCCCTACCGCCCCCTTAACTCGCTCCAACCCTCACCCCCCCCCTGCATTCAATTACCTCCCCCCCCA